GGCTGCCAAAGTCACATGTGCTGGGGCACAACTAAGACTCCAGCAGGCAAGTGCAAATAGCACTCTGTGCAGCAGTTCAAACAGATACAGTCCACTTACAGACTCCTACCACCATGGCCACTTCAAATCAATGAAGTGGTCATGGTGGTTAAAGTAACCATTTAAGGATATAGTGGCTAATCTCATGTGCCATACCTCTTGCCATACTCCATGTATGGCTTAATACCGGAGCAGGTAGACAACCTGTCCCCTACAGGATCCTCCTTCTATGCCAATGTATGAAATTAGGTACCAACATTGTTAATGTATATAAATATTGCAAAAAACTTTTCTGCTTTCTTAAAATTATTTATTCACACACTAGATATTAGTAATTGTAAGCCGAATAAACCTGCAGCAAACCTACAGGCTGAAGCGGATTGATGTTTCTAACTGACACAGGGAAGGATTATAATAAATATGTTTATTAACATCACGGCGAGCCAACAAACAAGAAGAGAAATATATATGATAAGAAGTGACAATCCAACAAATATTTATTTAAAGGGACACTATAGTCACCCAGAAAACTTCAGCTCAATGAAGTGGTCTGGGTGCCAGGTCCCTCTAGGGTTAACCCTGCCTGCTGTAAACATAGCAGTTTCAGAGAAACTGCTATGTTTACATTTGGGGTTAAGCCAGCCTCTAGTGGATGTCTTCCGGACAGCCACTAGAGGCACATCTGCGACGCTGGAGGCATATTATGCCTCCATAACGCAGAGTGCCATAGGAAAGCATTGAAAAATGCTTTCCTATGGACACTTTGAATGCGCGCGCACACTGCCGCCCATGCGCATTCCGCTCCGCTGACGTCAGACGGGGGCGCTGACGGCGGGGGAAGAGAGGTAAGGGAGCCCGGCGGTGGAAGAAGGTGAGTAGCTGAAGGGGTTTAAACCCCTTCAGCACCATGGGAGGGGGATCCTGAGGGTACTATAGTGTCAGGAAAACCGATTTGTTTTCCTGACACTATAGTGATCCTTTAAAAGACTTCAACTGGATGTATTCGAAAACAGACTTTTTTCTGGTACTTTGTTCCCTTTGGTTTTTGCTTTTTTGGAGAGATATAATTTCTTCTAAATAACATATAAGAAACTTGTCATTAATTGTGACTGAATATTCTAAAACTGTACACGTTTCAACAAATAATAAGCACATTAGGAACCTTCCCTGGGATGCTGCTGAACAAATCCTCTCTCTCTTTCTGGCAGTATTTAGGAGGGGAGTGCTTCTTGGCACCAATTTACTCCTCCATGATTTATAAGGACGGGTGGGTTCCTTGGTGACCCACATGTTTGATTTATAAAACTTTTCCAAATTAATTTCATAGTGTCTAAGCCTGGTGCTTTGGAAGTGGCCTCATGCAAACATCTATCCCAACCATATAACTAACGTCACTGTGTGCGGAATGAGCCTTTCAGTATGATATATTTGTATCAACTAGTCCTATTTGTTTTACCATTAAACAAATGAACAAGCCAGTAAGAAAGGCTGAGGGTTTATACATGTACGGGTCTGTCTGAGATTAGTGGGAGTTACAATGATGCGTGCCAGCTCTTGCCATTAATTCGGGCCTCTTCTCGTAGTGATATGCATTTATAGTGACATTTTGGGATCCTCTTCAAATATGTCATTACTTAAACAGATTCTTAAACAGAAGCTTCTGTCCAGGAACATAACTTATCTCAAGCAGACTTAGATGAAAAGTCCTGGTGTTGACTGGAGATTAAGAGCCCTGCACTACACGTTGGCAGTTAAATGGCGCATTACAGGTAATAATGCATGGAAGATGTCATCTACCGTTTAGTAGTATGGAAAGAGCACAAATGAAACATTCAGGCAGATCACATTGGGTAATGACATCCATGCAATATTCTCTGTAAGCCGTGGTTTGAATAACACTGTGCAGCGCAATGGCCCCTAACCTTGGGGAAGTGCTGGGACATGTTTATGTCTGGGTGAAGTGGGAGGTACACAGTTGCTGCCCCTTTAATTCGGAACGTTCTCGATAATACTATAGTGTAATTCTATATCCCTATTTCTCTTGCTGGGATATTACTTTTGGAAGAGAAACTAAAGAAATACCAGCAGCTGCAAATGGCAACTCCTACCATTCTCTCGTTGACTGGGACATTCACGTTGTGCCGTTGCCATCACTGATGGATTAGTGGGTGATTATTATTTTTTTGGATGACATTTGCAGGAGAGGAATCAGGGTGCACGGAAGGAAAGCTGTTAACAGTTCAGTTGATATGCTTTCCTAAAGCAGTACGTTTTCAATGATTTTTTGAAGTAATGGAGACTGGGTAAAAGTCTTCCAGAGTAGGAAAGGGAGTTCCATAGAAACAGTACAGCCCTAAAGGTGTCTTGCAGGCGAGCATCAGAGGTGGGAGTACAGACAGAGGATAGAGGTACGTCTTCGGCAGAGTGACATACTTGTGTATTAGGGAGGTTAGGTTGGTTGGAGTAGCATTGTGTAGAGAGTTTTAAACAAGTATCAGGATATGAAAATAGGCAGAAGCTTGGAGAAATTCAGTAGCTTCCCTTACGGTTAGTCTCCGCTCAGGTCTCAAAAATGTTTTCACTCACTTACAAAGAGAACCAATACCATTTGCATATCAGAATGATCCCACTCATAAGGGCAGTCCAGATCCGAAATGCTGACAAGTTCTCTCGGCACTGACTTTCACAGCGTTTCCAAAAATGCTATGGGTGTGCTACTGTGCATCTTCAAAAAAAAAATGTCATATGAGCGCATTGCTTGTGAGGGTTAAATTATTTTAACAGGTTTTCTTTGACAAACATGCAAATAAAATACAAGTAAAAATGATTGAAGAAGAAGGCTCCAAACCTGCACTGCAAGCCTATATCCTAAGATAGGATTTATCTTTATGTAATCGTAGATGAACCTTGTTGTTTCAATGGACGATAAGTAATATGTTTATACATTGATCAGCCACAACATTGTCTAATATTGTATAGGTCCCTCTTGTGCTACTAAAACAGCTCTGACGAGTCGAAGCATGAGTTCCCAAGAAATGCATCCTGTGGTATCTGGCACCAAGACATTGGCAGCAGCTTGAGGTCCTGCAAGTTGCGAGGTGGGGCCACCATTGATGGGATCTGTCATTCCAGCACTTCTAACACACCCCACACAAACTCAATAGAATCTGGGGAACTTGGGAGGCCAATGAAACACCTTGAACCCTTTGTCCTGTATCTTAAACCATTCCTAAACATTTTTGCAATGTGGCAGGGTGCATTATCCTGCTGAAAGAGGCCAATGCCTTCAGGGAACACCACTGCCATGAAAGAGTGTATGTGGTCTGCAACAATCTCTAGGTACATGTCATAGTAACATCTACACGAATGTCAGAGCCTAAGGTTTCCTAGCAGAACGTTTCCCAGAGCATACCACTGCCTCCCTTGGACTGCCTTCTTCCCTTAGTGCATCCCGCTGCCATCTCATCCCAAGGTAAAAAACCGCACACCCATCTGGCCAACCACCTGATCTAAAAGAAAATGTAATTTGTCAGACCAGGCAATCTTCTTCCATATTTCAGTTCCGACACTCACAGCCCCATTGATGGCGCTTTCAGCTGTGGACAGGGGTCATCATGGGCACGCTGACTGGTCAGTGGCTACTCAGCCCCACACACAGCAAACTGCTGTGCCCCGTGTGTTCTAACACCATTCTATCATGGTCAGCATTACGTTTTTCAGCAACTGGAGCTAAAGTAGCTGTTCTGTATGATCGGACAAGCTGCCTAATATATCCTACCCCTTAGCAATTGCCATTGTAATGATATAATCAATGTTATTCACTTCACCTGCCAGTGGTTTTAATATTGTGTCTGATCAGCGTACATATTAAGATTTATGTATATACCTTTTCTAGCATTTTTTTCTAGTCACACAGCATGTAGCAGGGAGTTCTAAATCAAGTGTCCATTTTTGCTATTTTCTTCTTTGCAATACTTGTGTTTAATTTTTCAAGTAGTGATATCACAAACGGACGCTTCAGCATTAATTTTATCTATTCACGGAAGACAAAATAATATGTTGCAGCAAATTGCATCGGCAAGGAAAACATCTGTTAGAAGAAGTAACAGTACACCCACATTAATATAGGTGATCACTAACTGGCAGAACAAGTATGACTTGTTTGATGCACGAGCGTTAAGGTGAATACTTGTATATGAATGTCACATGGCATTATAAGTACAAACAGACCTCTTCTTACCTACCTCCTTTACTGCATTGCGTGTATGCTGAATGAAACGTGAACTCAGTTATTGTCAAAAACCTTTCCTGCATGGAAAAAGTTAAACAAAGCAAGCCGTATTATTATTATTAATAAATGTACCTTGGAGTGTGTGCCACGGTGAAACGTCTCTGCATGCGATTATTCCTGCTCATCAGTAGTTTGCGGAGAAGTAGAGGTGAGTTACGGGGTGAATTACGAGGGGAGCTCAGAGGGGAGCTCCGAGGTGAGCTCCTAGGGGATCCTATGGGTGAGAGACCGGCAGCATTCCTCTGGGGAGGCGACACACTCTTTGGAGGCATCTGCATCTTGACCAGCAGAAAAATTATATAGCAGATTTGCTGATATTAATGATCAAAATGGAGCAGTAATTTGGTGCAGTATAATTCCACCCTATTGGTGCTAATTCTTTACAATAGTTTTCTGAGTTTGGGAGAATGATCCTAGACTTTGGTGCAGCCTGAAGATGCTCGTTTTTCTTTTTTTAAAAGTTGATCAAATGATAATTCTTTTCCTCCTGCAGTTTATATGATTTCACAAAGTAAGAAAAACTAAACGCGAAGGCATATTTTTGGCCCTCAAAAGAGGGGTCCCAATAATACAGACACTTAATAGGATGCAAAAATGACTTATTGGTCTCCGTATTGGGGGCAGGGACCAATTATTTTAGAATATGGTGTAGCAATACCTCTACGAGGTTGCTGATCTCTCAAATGAAGAAAAACAAAAATAAAAATCCACCCTGTTGTTGATATCAAAAAGGGATTAGTGCTGAATGCCAGACCCAGTACTACCACCTCTTCTCTTATACAGTTGCAGTAACGTGAATGTTCAGAAATGCTGAACTTTGAAGTGGTTTAAGATCTTCATCGCCACTGCCCGGAGATCCATAAGTACAACGTCAGTTGTCCTTGAACTTGCTGTAAAACATCAAAATCTCTTTTTTCAGCTCTTTGTTGCTCTCCAGAGACCAGTTAGACTGTCAGCTCTTCAGCTGCAACCCCTCATAAAATTCATATTAAGCATCAGCTCTCGTTTCGTGCACACATAGCTAGAAGCATAAAGCCAGTCAGAGCACTTTGCTGGCTGCAGTTTGTTTATCCATGCTGTCTCCAGTCCTCACACTCTCCTACGTCAGTCAACAGCTCCCTTCCTTCCTTTTCAACTAGCAGAGAAGGGCAAAGTCTTAGGGAACTTATATGGAACAAAATAGAAAGAGCAAATACATTCTGAAAGATATTTTTGTTATACCATGTATAGTTATGTGCATTTCTGCCAGCTCTACAATATTTATTTTAAATCAGCAGGGTTACTAAGCCCTTTGTGAAACTTTAATATTCATTACTTTGCAGGCAGTTTTAAATGCTGTGATTTGGTAAGGTTCATCTGGACACTGCACAGGAGGGTCTCCCATGATAAAAAGTAGTCATTTTCATGTCATTTACATGAGGTTGATGGGACGCTATAGGCACCCAGACCCCTTCAGCTCATTGAAGTGCATATTCCCAAGTCCCTTAACCCTGGAAAGGTAATTCCTGAAGTTTTTAAGTAACTGCAGTAATCACCTTTACGGGTATACTCCACCTCTAGGCTATGCATGAGGACATCCAGCGTCACCCAAAACCACACAGGAAAGCATTATATATTGCTTTTCTATGGGGCTGTTATAATACGAGCGTGGCCATTGCGGACGTTGGCGACGGAGGAGCGACGGCGGACCTGGAGCCAGTGCCGAGCACTGGACTCAGATAAGTCACCGAAATGGTTTTTAACCTATTATGTACCACAAGGGGGCTCAATATGGAGCTATAGTGCCACTATAGTGTTCCTTGAAATTATTTTAGGTAAGTGGAAAGCTATTTTAATCTAACAGGAATTGCCAGTATATGTAGTAGCATAGACTACTTGGCATCAATTTGTGTTTGGGATTTTAAAGGGGCCTTCTGTAGCAGTAATTCATAACTGCAATAAACTGGATTGGGGCGGGGGTGTTTCCATAGTAATGGTTAACATGTATTTACAACATTCATCAGTAAGGTAATGTAGAAAATACCTTACAAGGGGTATGTGCAAGCATATACTAGAACACAATGCTCTGCACATGAACAGAATATGTTATCAATAGTTACATCCCATCAGGTCAAACGAACAAAAAGGAACACTTTAATTAAAACTGAAATGTAATTTAGAACAAGAGCAATGTATCTTATTTACACAGACTGATTTCTACATCTAGACAAATTTATTGTAGTTTACATACACATTACTGTCAGTATTATTGTTGTGGAACTCTATCATACACTCTGAATCACTAATATGGAGCTCCTAGGAAAGAGGGACATTAGGACAGAAAAGAGGGACATAGGGACTTTGGACCAAAATAGGGAATGTCCTTCCTAAATAGGAACACCTGGGAGGTATGCCCACCCCCTCAATGCATTCTCAACTGTCGTCCCTAGGCTACTAGGTTCTTTGAAAAAACACCTGCAGGGACAGACTATATTAAAACATTAAAACGCCTGCAGGGACAGGCTATAGACACCAGAACAACTATTATTATTATCATTGCTATTTATATAGAGCCAGCATATTCCGCAGCGCTTTACAATAAGAGAAAGGGGATTTACCAAATGAGACAATAACTAAAAGTAACAGGAACAATAGGTAGTTGAGGACCCTGCTCAAATAAGCTTACAGTCTAGAGGAGGTGGGGTATAAAAACATAATAGGAAGGGTATTACATTAACTACATTAAGCTGTACTGGTTTTCATGACTATAGTGTCCCTTTAACTAAAAACCTTTAGTGACTTTTCCTTTTACTACAGTTTGGGCCAAAATTCAGAGTAGGGTTTGAGGAGTTAATAAACGTGGCGGCTTACATTGACGTGGTGGCAGTAAGATCTTTGTGTCAAAACAATGGTCCCGCCATTTTGAAATAAAATTCCACTCTTTTTACTTGTAGTTCCTTTGTGAAATTACCCATGATGAATCTCCCAAAACTCAGTTATAGTATATACCTGCAAACAAAAAAAATGAACTACTAACAAATAAGTTATCTACATGTCAAATTCTACTCTGAATTTTGGCCAACCCAGTACTTTATCATCAACCTCTGTCAAATGTGCTGGTTATATTATTTATTTAGATTTGTGTTTTTCACACACGTTTCATTGTCATGGGGAATTTCACAGACTGTGTGTGTGTGCGGGTTTCACTACTATAAAAATTCCTGATTTGTATTCTCCTACTGCCTCCATTTACAGCAATACCTCCCTTAAAGGCGTTTGTCAGGTTTTTGATAATTTACAGGGTCAAATAACACACATGCCAATTTCAGTTTGCAAATGTATCATTGACGCTGATTTAATTGGGCCTATGTCTGTTTTGGAACAAGATAGCAGTCCTCATCTGCATTTAACCCTCACAGTGTGCAAACGAATATAACATGGTTATGTAATATGGAATATTTTGAGTTGTTTCACTTGGCTATGTCACCATCAATGCCTGCCGAATTTAGAGGTACATTTTATTATATATATATATATATATATATATATATTTTATTTTTTTATTTTTTTTATTTACCGCTCCACACACAAACCTACACAGCATTATTTACTAAAGTAAGAATTCATGGTGTATTCAAAGAGGAAAAAGTCTTTAAATCAGCTATTCTTTCAGCATGGCTGATCTGGTCTTAAATTTTGAAACGCACCTTGTCAGGAGTCTAGACATCAAACAGGGTGAAGCCCTCCATTCCTTTTAAAATGTTTCCAACTCAGGAAAACCACTCAACTTTCAACAGCAATATAATATTTTATTAAACATTATTTTAATATGTTATTTGTAAATTAAAACGTATATATGCAAAAATTAAAATATGCTGCAACCAATAAAGATTTAGGGAATCTAGTTTAGATTCTGGAGAAGGTAAGCGGGCTAACCTTTATAAACATACGTTTTTGATCTTTGAAGTACTGCACCGGTGTGGACCTTATTTCTCTGTTTGAGAAAAAAAAGGTACCACCTTAAATGCACCAAAGCCCTAATACTAGAGCCATTTTATTGAGGCTGCACCAATTGTGAGTTTGATAGTTCACATGTTTACTGCACTTTAAATCCCTTACATATTTTCCTACACATATTTTTTGCATGTTATACAGTATATAAAGCCATGAGTAAATGGATGTAATTTTATTGACAGCTTTTTTGGAGTAGTCACCAGATAACTGTGCATTTTTATACTTTTTCGTTTATTGAGTATCACAGGGGGAATATCATATAATATAATATAATAAAGTGACTATTATTGTAACACTGTTTGGGCTAAAAGCATTAATCCCTTAAGGACAGAGCCAATTGTACAAGTTGTGATCAAAACATAAACAAAACCTGGAATTTGTGCTACATGTTGTTCAACCATACTTCACCTCTTTCATATTAAGTGCACCTACACTTATTATACATCAATTTGTTCAGGAGAAACATGGCTTTTATTTTATATCACATATTTATATATACAACATAAGTGAATATGAAGAAAAACTAAAAAAAGTGTGAGAAAATGTGTTATTGTTCAGGTTCTGCATGACATTTGAACTGTGAGTGTCATAATACTGTTAGATTTACTGCAATAAAATACACATATTTGTATTCAACAATGTCTCAGGAGTACAATAGTACCCCCCATGTCCAGGTTTTATGGTGTTTTGGAAAGTTACAGGGATAAACATAGGACTTGCAAATTAAATTCTCTGGACTTGCTGTCTGAATTGTCAAGCTGGTCCCTAAAATTATGATTAATAAAATGACTTAATTATGTAAAAATATTACATACATATACACGTAGAATTTAAATATATATACATATATATGTATATAAATCCTACGTGCATATTTATGTAATTATTTATGCAATTCTAATTATTTTATGCAATATCTATTTCTATGTATATATTTTTTATTTAATTTTATATATATATATATATATATATAATTTCATTCTAAGTGTATTTGATAATATATATATATATTTCTGTATATATATATATATATATTAATATCAAAACACATTTAGAATGAAATTGCATATATATATATAATTGTTTTAAATTTTTTTATTATTATTTGATTAATTTATTTCATGAATTTATTATTTAATTTTAATGGCTGTCAGCCATTCCCCCTAGAAGCGGATCGTGGCGGAGGGGAGTATACCTCGGGCACTGGGGCTCAAAGCCGTTAGGGCATTCTATGCCGCCATAACGGTGTTAAATTCCATTATAATGGGGACGGCAAAGAACGCCCTAATGGCGTTAACGGGTTAAAGGGACACACTACTGCCCAAATACCAAACAAATAAAAAACACTGTTTAGTAGATATACCCCAAATGAAAATGCATGCATTTAATTATTCATTTTATTGGCATTGTATCTAAAAACAGATTGCAAATCCTGCAGATCTATTGTCTGTTATCTTTCTAACCCCGTCCAGACTTTATGTGCCTGTTCAGTGCAAGGCACTGCCATTGCTGCCTCTTGAGTTCTATGCAAATAAGCTAACCAAACCAAGAGGTAACAGGTTGTCTGTTTGAAAAGCCATGGGGATGTAACAAAGTTAATTTATAAAAGTGTCAATTTCTATTGAAATCTGCACTATTTTCAAAATGAAAAAATAGGACACACTCTTTGCACATTAAGATTTTCAGCAAGCTAAAGTATTTTAGGGGCTGGAGTATCCCTTTATTTTACATCTTCTTTGACACATTTTTAGTTTAACTCTAACCAAATACCTGAGATTAGTAGAAGGATTTCCACGCTAAAACAGTAGAAAATGGTTTGTGACTGCCATCTAGTGGTTGTTTTCAGCATGAATGAGAGATCTCCCTCTAAAGCAGAACAAACAGCACACTCTCCAGTTGCAAAGCCCAGCTCTGGTCACATTCGGCAGGGGGCATGCAGTAAGACCCTATTCAGATCAATGAGCAGCTGGCAGCTGGAGAATCACCATGACTAAATGCAATCCTTTCAATGGATTCAAAAGGATGTATGTAGCATTTGAGTGCTGCATTAAGTACATCTATAAATCTGGGGCCACTAAAT